AACATGGCTAAAAGTTTCAGAGAAATCAATTCCAGGAGTTTGATGAAACCCTTTGGCTATAAATCTAGCTTCGAATATCTGAACTGAGCTATCTTATTATGCTTCAGCTTGAAAACCCATTTATTGCCTACAATGTTGTGTGCTGGTGAATAAGGCACAAGTTCCTAGGTTTTAGCCTTTGTTAAAGCATTGAATTATTCCTCCATGGCTTTCCTCCAACTGTCATACATCAGTGCTTCAGTTGTTTTCTTAGGTTCTGAGAGTTTTTCAGCTAATCTTCCAAAATAAACCTTTGGTTTGAATACTCCAACTTTTCCTCTAGTGATCATAGGATGCCCAGCTAGATATCCTGTTCTATGTTGAGGCGCTTCTTCAATTTTATTTTCATCTAATTGTAGAGGAGCTTCACTGATCAGTGACAGATTTGGTTCTGGAATTGAAGGTTCTGATTCAACATTTCCTTCAGAGTCACCAAGGTCATCACCAATTGTTATATTGTCATTTAAATCAGAAGATACGTGATGTTCAGCATGAGCAGCTTCAGAGTGACTTGTATCAGCAGGACTAGAAGTAGATATTGTTTTGTTTGGTTCAGATGGAAAATAAAAGTGAGACACTATGGTTTCTGACACTGCTGGTTCTGATTGAATTTTTGTGGAGGTAGAAGACTCGAATGGGAATTCTGACTCATTATATATGACATGTCTTGAAATATATAATTTTCTAGTTGAGCTTAGGCACTTGTACCCTTTGTGAGATTTACTATAGCCAATAAATGTGCACTTGGTGGAGTAGAAACTGAATTTGTGTTTCTGATAAGGCCTTAGACAGGGGTAGCAGGCACAACTGAACACTTTCAAGGCTTGGTAACTGGGTCCTTTATTGTATAGGATTTGATAAGGTAACTTTTCTTGAAGAGTTGGTGTTGGGAGCCTATTTATAAGGTAGGTAGCAGTTTGAAAAGCTTCCCACCAGTACCTCAACGCAGTTTTGCTTGGGCTAATAATGTTAGACCTATTTCAGTCACATGTCTATGCTTTCTTTCTATCCTACCATTTTGAGCTGAAGTGTATGGACATGGGTGCCTAAACTCAATTTTCTCTTGGTTCAAAAACTTTGAGAATACTCTATATTCACCAACCCAATCAGCCTGCAAGGTTTTTATTTTGCTAGCTAGTTTGTTTTAAAAAAGTCTTTTGAATCGAATAAATATATTTAAGACCTCAGATTTCTATTTAGGGGGATAAATCCATGTGTAGCTGCTAAAGTCATCAAGAAAGGATATGTAATATTTGAAATCTGAGTTAGATAGGATAGGGGCTTGTCCCCAAATGTCTGTGAAGACAAGTTCTAATGGAACTTTCGCATGTGATAAAGATAAAAGAAAGGGCAATAAGTGAGATATGCCAAGTTGACACGCATTGCAGAAAGGTCTGATATCATTTTCTTTGAGTTTGAGAATACAGGATTTGAGTACTTCAGTCATCACTTGGTTAGAAGGATGACCAAGCCTCTTGTGCCATACATCATTGTGGAAATAGAAAACTCATGACTTGAAACACTAGAAGACGGGTTGCAGAGGAATTTATTTGTGATGGTTGACTCTTGAGTAAGACTCTTGGTGGTTTGGTGAGGAAAGTCCAGCTGGTACAGTCCCTCTTTAAGCTTTCCTTGCATTATCACTTCCTTCGTTGATTTATCCTTGACAAAACAGCAATTTGGATGAAATTCCATATAGACATCATTATCTAAAGTTAACTTAGAAACACTTATAAGATTTTTCTTAATTTCGGGCACATAGGGAAGTCTAGAACCAGAATTTTATCATTCAAAATTGGAATGTGAGTGGTACCAAAAGGAGAGGTATGCAACTTACTTCCATCTTCTTACCAGCATATTCATTGATTGGGGTGAGATTTTCTTTGTCTGAAGTTATGTGATTCCTGGCTCCAGTATCTGCATACCATGCTGGATCATTGACAGTGTTGGGAAATGCAATAAGAGATGCAGGTGACGTGTTGTAGCTGGTTCTTTGGTTTGGTGGCACTCCAATATATTTATCATCATACCTGAAGTTGCATATATTAGCTTTGTGTCCAATTTTCCCATAAACTTGACAAATTAGTATGTTGTCATTGCCACCATATAGGTCTATTATTGCTAAAACTATTGGTCCTATCTCCAAAAGTTGGCCTATAAGATCTGAAGCCATGGTGATTGGATGCAGACCTTTGGGAGAAATTAGATGAGGTCTGATTGATTTTGATTTCAGCTATGTCATTTCTCAGAGAATTAAGGTGTTCCAGCCTGCTTTCATAAGTCATAAGTGTGGATTGAAGCTCTTCCTAAGATATATGATCTCTGCTATTTATCTAGACAACAATGGGGTATAATCTTCATCTAAACTAGCCAAAACCTGAGTGACTAAGTCTGTATGCACCACAGTTTTCCCAACAATTTCAAGGTTGCCAGTAAGTTGCTTCACGTTGTTTAAATATTGATCAACATTCATGGTTCCCTTTCTTGACTTCTACAGTTCACCAGTCAGGAAGGTTATTCTAGACCGATTTTGT